CAATCAGAGGAAGAAAGAAAGCAAGTCGAGGAATACGTCGAAAAAGCTCACGTACTCCTGGAAAAGGCCCACACATTGGGTACTAAAATACACGCTAAGCTGATGGGATTGGAAGCGCAGAGCGAATCATCTAGAGAGATGAAGGGCGCAAAGGTAGAGTTACCGACAATCCCGATTCCCACGTTTGGTGGAAGAATCACAGAATTTGAAAACTTCTGGGCACTTTTCAGTGCAAACGTGCACAGCCAGAGGCTTTCAAACTTGCAAAAATTCAACTACCTGTTGCGAAGCCTAAAAGGCGAAGCAAAGGAAGCAATAAGAAGATACTCCGTGACGGAGGAGAACTACAATGCAGCAGTTGAAGTACTGCATGCGAAATTTGGCGATAAATCCAAACTGATCCACGAACTTCAAGTGCGACTCGAGCGAGCTACGGCAAGCGGAACCCACATCAGCGACCAGCGAAGGTTACTGGAGTACCTACTCGCTTTGACTACTCAGCTAGAACAAAAAGGAGTCTCTTTGAATGGCTCATTCATCACGCAGAAAGTCTTGGCAAAGTTCAAGCAGAGCCTTCAAAGGAAAGTTCTTCAACAACACGTTGAAGCAGATCATCAAGTTAACGAGATGCTAACCAGCAATGAAGCCTCCCAGATCAAAACCAGACCAACCTATGGCCAGAGGCAATTCGAAAAAGCACCAGGCCGGCCTATCTCATGCATCTACTGTAATGGAACAGAACACGTCTCGCAAACATGCAACAAGATTGCCTCCATAGAGGAAAGGACCCAGTTCCTAATGAAAAATAAATTCTGCCTCAACTGTGCAAAACCCAACCACCTTCTGAAAGATTGCTCAAGCAGAGGATGCAATATGTGCGAAGGCAAGAAGCATCACTCTACTATTTGCCCTAAAAGGCAAACCAAAGGAAAGTTTATGTCACAAACGAAGAGCAATACGACAGAATCTGCAAATCGTGCGAGACATACAAAACAGGATCTGAGAAAATCTAATCAAAATCAAAACCATGTAAGCGAGATAGCGAAAATAACGTCAACGAATCTACAATCCACAGAGCAAGATAGCAATAAAAATACGACTTCAACCCTATACGTCTCCAATACAGAGCGACTCAAAAATACGAACCAAGTTCTACTTCTCACTGGAATGGCGAAAATCTGCGATAAAAGAAGTGGGCAACTGAAAAAAGCAGAAACACTCTTCGATACAGGTGCCGACAGATCTTTAATCACAGAGACACTAGCTGTTGCACATCAAAAATTAAAACGAGAAAGACACCATTAACCGACGCATTGTCGCCTGCTACCCCAGACTACGTCCAGAGACAACCCATGCAAGGAATGAAGCGAACCAAAGCTACATATAAGAGTGATCCCAAAGCCGATACCAAAACGACGATGAATATATGGAAAAATCCTCTCGTTCGACCGATTTCGACCTCGTATAGCGCCAACCAGGAAACCAGGACATATGCAGAACGACGATTACGGTCCAAAAAGAAGCGACACGAACCGGACCATATCCATTAATTCATACTACGCTGAAGAGCTGAGAAACTCGCACAACCAAAGGACCCGCCAGTCAAGCTCTATCAGCTCTACCCAACTGAATCAAGCAATCCGACAAAGGAAAAAGTTTGAACCTTTAAAATCCATGAAAATTCATGGGTTGACCAAGAGACCCTCACCACCCACTTCACTATCGAATGTGAACAGAGTCAAAAACAGCCGACGCAAAGGAGAATCACGGAGAAGAAATCTGGCGGGCACCACACAAACACTACAAGAATCTAAACATTAGCCGCTTCACCCGCCACATACAATCGTTAAAACCCCTTCGAAAGAGATTCACAAAACCACCTACGCAGCCATCGACAGTTTCTACCAAGTTGTGCTATATGGAATGTTACTGAAACCTCAGATGGAAAAACCCGTTATAAATGCAATTGCGGGGACAGCAATCTTTCAATTGCGATTAAACGAAGACAATCGGAGTGCACCGCGAGTCGACAATAATGTGATACTTCCAAAAAGCTACCACTCTGCGAGATATTGTTTCATAATAATCTTATTCAAACTCAGCTCCTCAAACGTCCTCCGACACTCACAATCGACCCGCCATTGACTACGAGGAAGATAAACTTGCTTTAACGAGCAAATTCTGCGATAACCTTTACTTGTATCATCTTAAACTTCTTGGCGACGTTGGAATAACTTGAACCCTAACTTCGAGAGTTCCACCACGTCAAGGAGTGCACTTGCGTACGAATTACGTCGAACAAAAGCATGGTCAAAAGTATCGGTATGGACACGTCCGCCTTTGCTGCCTCCTACAGTTTTATTTGGTGTGTTAAGTTTTATTTCATACTTCTATCATTTCATTTCATATTTGTTGTAACGATGTTATTGGTGTTGAATTATTCCGCAATTATATCTGTTGTGAATTATGCCAATTAATTTCTTCTTTCTTCAGAATCTTCTTTTCCATATTCCTCTCATTTTGTGACAATGCAAGACAGCCAACAAAGTATGCAGACACTGGATGAACCACAAGAGATGAAAGCATGCAGGACAAGCCCAGCATGGAGAGCGCCCAGTTGATGAACAAACAAACAAGCAGATCTCAAGAAGAGCGACAACGGCGCAGAAACGTGACTACCCCACAACTCTCGTGTGGGGGGAGTATCGCGGACCGCCCGCGATCTAGAAGACCAATGGTTGATTTGTCAGTCAAAGAAAATGATCTTCTCTGATCACACAATCGCGCGCCAAAAAGGCGCTATAAAAGAGGCTGAGAGGGGAACCAAGGACCCAGTCTTCCTCGAGCTCTTCCAGACAACTTTTGCGACTAAGCGATTTGCAACATTGCGATTCTATTTGCGATTGCCCTCTCTGGCGGAGCCCTCATCCTCATTGCACTTGTTCTCTAGCGATTCTCTTTGAAGTATTCTTATTTGCGAAGTTTTATCATCTCAGTTATTCCATTACGTGTTCTAATACTCAGTTACTAACATTCACCGGTTTATTGTTATTGTTCTCATCTATTGTTGGTCTCTGTCCATTGGACCTTTACTGATCTCGTGAAGATTTGTTCTACTCGTTGTTATTTTGTTAGTTTCTTCACATAAAACCAGTTACATTACCAGCAATTTGAGCTTCTCAAAAACACAACGCCCGCACGTGGCCACAAGTAACACGGAATACAAGGCATCTACAGAAGCCGCAACCGTTAACTATACGGTACGTTATGCGGGCCATGTTAGAAACGCCGGCACCTCGACACTTCAGCCCAATGCGCCGCCAACACCACTCCTATAACACTGCCTCTTTTCAGGCGCGAAAAACCATCACTTTTGACCGAAGGTTGTCAAAAACAACTACAAAGCACCAGAAGGGGGACAAAAATTTTTTTAATTTTTGGCGGCGCCCGTCTTAAATTTTGGCTGTTCGGGGTGTGTGATTTCCAATTCTTTCTAATGCTTCGTGTTCTCACAGCTCTAACCTTTTTCTCCGCTGGTTCGAGACGAGCTTCTTTGTTTACATCTCACGCCGCGCCGATCATGCACCATCAAATGCTATGATCTCGCTTGCCTTGTTTTTTTTTCTAGGATGGTACGCCCATTCATGGTGAGCTAACTCTTCAGTTTCGGATATTCCGTTTCAGAATTTATTCGCACCTCACTTCTCCCTTCTTTCGTTCGCTTTAGGTGCTTGCATAAACTTTCCTTTGTGGCTAAACATTTCGTTGCATGCACTGGCGTCTATCCATATAATAGTACGAGGTTGCTCTCGCCTTCTTACCCTCTTTTATGATTAAGGTTCTCGCACGGCGTACTTCCATTTTGCTGCACACGCCCCTACTTCTCAACGATCGTTTTTCAGGTAATTGTTGAAACCCGCTTGTTGTTTTCTGTGGTTTGTGTCTTGGTAATGGACGACTCATCGTCCCCTCCAGACCCGGGCGCCGCACCGGACGTCCAACGCAGGTACTCTTTGCCTTCTAGTCGCGATGCGGCTGATGATCATCTCTCCTAGTTGCGATTCGACTGATTCCACGTCTATTTCCTTGAGTCGCGATGCGGCTGTTCTCAAGAATATCTCTCTTAGTCGCGATGCGGCTGCCACCAAGACTAGTTGTACAGCGGCCATAGTCAAGGAAGAGTCCGCAATGGACACCTCCGAGACCGCTGTGTCTGGTCCTCTTACGGAGGCCGCCAGTACCACTGTATCCTCTTCGGTTTCAGGAACTGTTACAGAGCCCACCGTGGCACAAACTTCCACTTCGGAAGCCACCCTTTCGGCAACCTTCGCCGAGATCGCCTCACGTAGTAAGTGGCACTCAGCTGCGTCGTCATCGTTTGCTGCGTCTCAGCGTAAGTTTCACAGCGAGAAGGAGCTCCCCCACAAATCCGACGAAGACTCGGTGATAAGTATGACCTCATCCATGGAGCACCTATCTGTCACGGAGGTGGCACCCCCTACGCCGCCACAAGCTCCGGCATCGGTCTCCTCCTTTACCCCTCCGGCAAAGGTTATGCGCTCCTCTTCTAGTCAGCGCAGGCCAGCTCCTGCTGCCCCTACACAGGTAAGAGGGCGGGGTGCTTCTCGCCAGCTCCAGTCTTCCCGGGGCTCTGCCCGAGGCCACGCTCCTACCTCCTCGAGGTCGGTAGCGTCAACTTCGTCGGCCTCCCAGCCCACAACGTCTCGCACCTCTACCCGAGGAGCCGGTCCCTCCAGGGCATCGGGCACGCGTGGCGGTCGAGGCGCCAAAAGGCCACCCCTA